GAGGTTTTAAAGGCAGCTTGGTTGAGGGGATGAAGGTGAATGTGGATGCTTGCTGTCTAGCTGTCTCTGCAAGGTCTGTCTCCTGTGTTGAACTTGTGATTTGCCTGCAATTTGGTACCTAATTATTGTGCCAAAACATCCAAATTCAGCAATAAGTTGCTTATCTTTCCTTCCTAAATAAATAGCAAATATAGAGCAGAACTTTTGTTTCAAACTGTTGTTTGTTTTCTGTGTCTTCAAAATATTTTTACTTTAAAAAAAATTAAAAAAAAAAAAAAAAACACAACAAGGGACTGAAGTGTAGAAGGAAATAATTTCTTTTTCCTGAAATTTTGAAGTTTCAACCTCTTTTTCGCTGTTTAATGCTGGCAAGAATAAACAGTGAGAGAAAACAGATTTATCTTTTCCCCTTCTACTCCTTTCTTTCTTTCCTCTAAAAAACACCAACAGAAAATCTGATAGACTGCTGTAGTTTTCTGAGGTACTAGCTCAAGTGTTTATTCCCACAGAAAGGAGGCTTGACTGATGTTTTCTTTAACAAAACATGTGTCTTAGGCATAATGTTAAAAAAGGTCACTGGACAAAAATGACTTGTAGGCTAGCATACAATACCTAAGAAACTTAAAGCAACCTGCCTTAAAACAGAAAACTTCAACCTGAATGAAATGGAAGATATTTGCATTTATACCCAACCCAAGCTGGGCATATGGAGGAGAATGAAGTCCTGAAAAACACAAAACATTTAAAAAATATTAATAGTATTTAAAAAAACCTCCTAAATACAACTGAATAATTAAATACTTATTTTTCCTTAGCATAAAAAAAATGCATGAAGGAAGTTGTCTCATCCCACTCAGTGGATTGTGAGAAACGTGAATCTTTGAAGTCTCACTGGATAGAGCACTCCTTGCTCTCCGGAGGTCACTGGGGCAATGGAGTCAGACCATGACTCAGAGGAACAATACAAGACAATTTATTGAGCTTTCTTACTACAGCTAATCAACTACTTTGAGACAAAAATAGGCAATTTTCTAACAATTAATACCATCATGGGTAATGGTATTTGGCATAGGTGTTATTTCCTTGTCAACTACTTCAAAGCAAATTCAGGCAACATTAGTAAAGAAAAATGAGTAAACGAAGAGTGAGAGGAAGGAGATTGAGAGATAGAGGGAGAGAGAAATAATTTAGAGGTAGATGTATTTCACCACTCCTGGATCCAGTTTTGTCTTGAGTCTGGGGTTTTGATCTCTGAGTGGTGAGCTGACAAAGGTAAACATATGTGTTCACTGTTACATAGTCTAGTTAGTCCAAGCCTGCCCTTTGGAATGGCACTCCACTTGTATCTAGAAGATTCAGGAGTTTTTGATGAGGGTCTTTGGTGGCTGTGCACCCCCTCTTCCCTTTTCCTGATGTTTATCAGCTGTAAGGAGCCATGAGAGGAAGTGAAGATAAACCATGCTTCCAAACTGAGCATGCACAGGTATTACGGCTTCCACCTTGAGTAGTCAAAGCTCCATTCTTTCATTCTCAGACGGTTGCTAAGGCTAGCTTTGAGCCAAGAAGTTCCTTGTAAGGCTCAGACAGAAGTATAAAATGGGAAATGTGGAAATTTAAAATTTGTGTCTTTAAGATCAGATTTAGATCTATGGCATTTTGGCATTCCATTCTTTCTGGAATTCCTTGCAGAAGAAAATTTTGGATGGAGATAGAAAATGAGGATAAAATATGACATTAATTTGCACTGGAGTAGCAAATATTCTACAGGAGTTTCAGGTCGTTAATCTGTCTTCTAACTGAGGGAACTACATTAATAGCTTATGGGATTTACAGGGCACACATCAATTTAATAGTTTACCCTAAGTTTGGAGAAAATAGAAATGGGCAAGAAGATGGACGATATATGATATCTCTATGCATTAAAATCAATAGCTTCTATTTAACCTTTGTCTCTTGTCTCCAAAATGGAAACAAACATATTTGCCTACCTTATGCTAATGCAAAGAGAATCATTTTAGTTAAAAAGCTTTACTTGTGTTTCTGTGGGGTAGGGACTGGTTTTTTTAAGTGTGAAGTCAGTATAGACAAAAAAATATTTGTAGTGAAGCAGAAGATCCCTATAATGTCACTGTTTCAACTGCAGCATGTTTTAAGCAGCTCTTGTCATTGGAGTTCTGCCTGTGCATTGTAATTAGTCACTGTGTTTTTAAACTGTAGTATTTTCCTGTGTTCTGAAGCAAGGAGGGAATCCTTTTTTTGCTTCTTGTTTTTGGAGATATGAGATACCTTTGAAAATGGAGAAAGAAATACACTGTGCAGTTTGCAGCTCATTTGTGAAAAGCTTCAGAACTAGAACTGGGCAATAATACCATTCTTAATAGTTGAAACTATCTCTACAGGAAAGAGTCATGTTAGTACAGTACCTATAAATCAGTTTTGGTGCTGTGCATCATCAGATATGCAACCTCTTTTAATGTGATAATTCCCATAATTTGGGTACTGACCTTGTTCTGTGTTGTACAGACTTGTAATCTGTGTTTTTTTCAATGATCCCCACAGGTGGGATATTTCTAATGTGAAATCATGCTGTGAGACACCTCTGAGTGTGCTGTGAAGACGGGATTATAAATATTCATTGCTTTTGCAACCTTGGGCAATGAATGTTTCAGAATTTAGAAACTAAACAAAACTGGATCTAGTTACAGGGAAAAAAAACAGCAACTACAACAGCAAAAAAGCTTTGGTAAATCCAGGTGATGAATAAAGCAGAAAGGGCAAGAAAATGAGAGTTTTTCTGCTAGGTTGATTCTGAACTAATGTGCCAATTGCATCAGCTCACATATGAAATTTGTAACAAAAACAAGACAGGCTGGATTTCCCCTCTTAAAAATGAAATAACTGTTCTGTAGCCTTGTTTCATCACTGAAGAACAACATGTTGCAAGCTGTCGTCACCTCACATGTCCGAGGAACAAGTGTGGGTGCCACCAGGCTCTCCTTATCCCCAACCCATGGTGGGACCTTAATTGCTGACAACACCTGTGGTGCAGCCAAAATGTCATGCACCCAGAGGGGAAAAGCATGTCTTGAATCACATACGATGCCACTATAAGTTCCTTTCAGTGGCATGCCTGACAAGTGAGAGATGAAGGGCAGTAGAAGATCACTTCATTCTTTTCTGGCTTAACTTGTTTAGGTACAAAAGCAGGACTCATTACCACTCAGCCTCTACATGTACTCTGTGACGAGACGTAGCAAGGCTCAGCCCTCAATCCTTCTTCCTGGGATTGGGTGGAAACGTGTCTTTTACTGTTGTTGTTTCTTAAAGAGAATCTTTGCAGATAGATGATCTCCATGGAAGGTATAATCTTTTATTCCTTTCTCTGGGCACTGACAGATCCCTGGGTTTATGCAAAGTAAGTGGACATGCAGGATTGCAGGCTGCTTCAGGGTCTGGAGGAGTACTGGTCTGTACCCAAAGTTCCTAATCCTGCCTGACTCAGAACATAACAGTTTTCCCACTGCATTCATCCCCATGTTCATTTTTATTGTGCAAAAATAAAGTTCAACTAGATTGATGTCTCGCTTGTGATTTATTATGCAATATGAATTCAGTGGGAAAACAGGGATAGCCACATCCGGGAGGGACCATCAGGGGGGGATTTTAAGGGTCTGTTGTTGTGGAACATGGTAGCATCAGAAATTAAGATGAATTCAAAATGTAGATCCACCTCCTCACAAACTGTTGCTAGTAAGTTTTTTTTCTCTATATATGAGATTCTGGTGTTGCTGGGAAAAACCTAGAGGAAAATTTTCTGGCAGAACAGATGAAAATGTGATAATTCTTCATGACCTGTTTTTTTTATAAGATTATGGAATTGCATGAATCACTGTGTATTTCATAATGATAGGAGCAAGAAAATGCCTAGGTAGATACAGCTGGGACAGTCAAGTCAGAAGGTGAGTTTAGGACACCTCCCTCCGTCTCTTTCTATTTCTTTTTGAGAAGAAGAATTTTATTGAAGTCTTCTGGAGAGCATCCTAATGTCACCTGAACCTCAAGATCCACCAATGTTACAAGGATTTAACTCCCCACCACGTTCCCAGGGGAGCTCCACTTGAGATGGGATACTGAGGGTCATCAGTCAGAGACATAGAGGGCACTTATAGGATGCAGAGCATTTCCCCTCTTATTTATGCCACAACACCAATTTTCTATTTTTTCCCCAGTGTCCCAGCAGAACTGCACTGGAAAACCAAACACTAAAATGCTGGAGATTTTTAAAATTATCCTTTTAACAAACATTACTATTATGAACTAAAAGGGGAGGGGAAAGAGGGAAATATTTTAAGCTACCTTCTCTGCTGGAGAGGCAGTGATGCCATATCATCACCCTTTTCATGTGAGAGACACAAAGCACAGTAGCATCTGTACAAGATACTTACCTCGGTGCTTGTGGCTCTTTAACAGAGCTAAGTACACCATCTTTCAAAAAATATATTGTGTACACAAAGTACAAAGCTAGAAGAGAAGTGGTTACACCCATAAAAAACTTCTCCCCTAAGATCTTGTCCCCCACCTAAGCTTACATAGTGACTCATGCATTTACATTCCTCACACTTCAGATGGCATCTGCTGCTACACATTTGTTGTAGGATCTGTCTGTGAACAGCTGGTGACAACCCACTTCCTCTTGCTTTCTTCGGTAGAGATTTTTTCAGTTGTTATTGTTTTGATGTGAAACCCAGTGTTGGAAAAACAAGCCCATTTACCCTGATTAGAACCAGCCTTTTAAGTACATGCCAATTAACAAACCATTTGTTATTCTCCTAAGGACCAAGGAAATACTTTCCTTTTCTCTGATTTCACTTTGCCTCTTTTCACTTTATTTATTTTTTTTCCCAAATATGATACCACACATATATAACAAAATCAAGCTATTTTTTTTTTTTTAATGGAAAATGGTCGTATTTATCTTTTTCTCCTTTTGTCCTTTATAGTTGGAGACAAAGGAATCCTTTGCTTTCTTTCAAGATAATCTTAATTAACCTGGTGAAATAACCATGCCATCTTCCTAAGCAGATAGAATCTATGCCACTAATGGTGAGTATTATTGACATGCCTTCTGGAAAGACAAACCCTACACTGTTCTGAGTTCAGCAGGGACAGAGGTTTTTGTTGCTTTTTCTCTTCTGCCTTCATAGTATGGTATGATGCTGCTGCCAGGTTAAACCTCATGGCATACTCACATTTGAAACAATGATACAAAACAACAACAAAAAATGTGATATATTTTAGTTACTTGGTGTCAATTCTACTATCAGGTCTTACAAAATTAACAGACTTGGTTTTTTTAGCAAAATTAGGAACACTTTAGTTTACACTAGCCAAGCACGTCCACCAAAACAGAAATTTGCCTTTAGGGTTTTGATCTCAACTCTGTCAAATCATAGACAACGTTTTATACTTTGCAAAGAAATATGTACAAAAAACTGAGCTTAAATTAGTTACCATTATTACATTGTTTCCTCTCATCCAGCACATCTAAATTTCCTTGCCAGGTATCAGTATTATTACTTAAATATTTTGAGGAATTGCTAGGCTTTCAAGCATGACTGGCTTGTTTCCATTTTTGAAAAGACAATTTGTTGCCTCAGATAAATCTGGAAGTAGCTGCTTCAGAAGCTTTGTATAATCCTATTTATAGGACGTACATGCAATAAAGCTAAGGTCTCCTCCACTTTAAAATGTTTCATGTATTTATTACTAATTTGATGTCTGGAACTTTCTGTAGGAAATTTCCCAGGCTTCTTCCTACCCCTTCTTACAATTCAATTTGAAGTTACAATCTATGTTAAGTAGATAGTATTGTGCCATTTAGCCCTGTGAGTGATACCTGTTCTCATCTTCACCTATACACCTGTCCCTTAACATATAGGTATACTTATGGTACATTGCTATTCAGCTGTTCTGAATCTCTCCACATGAGTATCTTTGGCAGCTGTTGCATTACTCTGAGGTGAGTTTTACCTTATAAATGCCGGAGGAGTATCTGACTGCAGAGGAAGACATCTTCTTGGAGGGTCACATTTGCCTTGTACCATTTCTAGATGTGTTGTTTCACCCTCTCTAATAAACAGCTCCTCGGGCCTTGAATTTAAATACTGATTAAGCACAAATTTGTTGCCAAACCTGCTTTTTTTTGCTTTTTTTTTTTTTTTTTTTTTTTTTTTTTTTTTTTTTAATTTGTTTGTTTCCTGTGGTGAGAGTGTATTTCAATCACTCTGCTGCTCAGGGGAAATTGAAAACAGGATTTGTTTTGAGTTCTCATTTACTTTCCCAAGATGGATCAGTTGAAACCTGTTATAACACTAATGTACTTAAAGATGTATTATGTATACTTCGTTAAAATGCTGAGGGAAAAAGCTTTACTTTTGCAGTTGGTTTGGCCTGATGCCAGGATTTTCCGTGAAGCTGTACAAAGAAGCCAGAAGGGAATTATTCACATATTGATATGCATTCAGCATTACTGTACTCATTTGCTGTGAACCTGTGCCCTTTTTAAAGTATATTGGAAAAGACAATGGGGGGTTACAAATGGGCTAAAGGTACGCACTTTCTGTAGAGCTATGCTAATCGAGGGCTGACGTGAAACATTTGGATGAGCCTGCTCCCCAGGTCTAATGTCAAAACAAAATACTTGTGCATTACAGAAACAAATAAAAGGTTTCTCATTGTCTGCATTGCGAGTCCTAGTATAAGCAGAGATGCCAAAACCCTAGATTTTCATTTTTTTGCATTGAACCATAAAGGTTACTTTACATGTAATGATGATATAGTTCTTACTGTATTACCTGTAATTTCCACTTGAGAATACCTCAGTGATTCTCTGCAGTTGAATGCATAATGTCTCAGTCCCTGGGGCAGTATTGGTAACAATTTATACCGTAGCAACCTATTTTATGGCTGATCTATGAATAGCAGTGCCATTTGTCACATAGTTGATAGTTCTGCCTGTTCAACATAGCTGATGACAAATTTTAAGTTGAGATAGTTTTATCCTTCAGTTCATAGTCTGACTCTTTCTCACTGCTGTATCTTTTGGTGCAGGCTTACCTTTTTGTGCCCTTTACAGTCTCCAGGAGAAGACTGATCTGCAGATAATTGGATATTCAACACCCATGTTTCAATTATCATATTATTTGAAGAATCTGGTGCTTCACTTAATGTTCCTCAAGTAGTTTTCTTGATTATTTACTATTGAAGAGCTGGGGTAAACTTGTTTGCTTCTCCTTTCCTCTCTGCCTGAATTTGATTTCAGAAAGCAATCTCAGATAAAAGAGAGAGATTTCAGAGTCCTAATCACATGCTGCTGTTGTTGCCTTTGTTGCTGCAAGTGGCAATGTAGTGCATAGTTTACCCTACACTGTATAAAATGCCAAGAGCAGAATACATTATTTTTATTGTGATGCAATTTTTTTTTTTGGTGAGTGTTTTCCAGAACAGACATACATGATGGTTGTATTCATCATGAATTTATCTATAGTATTTAATTACAAGAGTTCTGCATACATATAAATAATGTATTAGAGGATTTTGTGGTGATAGAACAGCTCAGGGTACATATGACAATATCTCGCTTCTGTCTCTCTCCTGTCAATTACCCTAGAGTCATACCACTTTCTTAAGTTTCAGGTCAATAAAATAAAATTCAAAGCAGAAGCCAGCATCTGGTGAGACACTAACTTCATTGCATGACTTTAAGAAGTGAATACATTCTTCATCACCCTTTTCTCCTGACAGAAGAAGATTATTCTTCTGTTTTTGCTTTTACATAGGGATTTTCATGTTCCTCCAGTATGGCTTTATTTAAAGAATTTGTAGGTCTTTATTTTCTGTCAGAATGTACAGTATTTCCCTTTGTGTAGCGATGAGGATAAATAGTTTGTTTCATCTGTAAAATTTGCAGATATGAAATTCTTTACTCAGAGGGGCATGATGCACTGGCACAGACTGCCCAGAGAAGCTGTGAATGCCCCATCCCTAGAGATGTTCAAGGATGGGTTGAAAGGGGCTTTAGGCAAACTGATGTATATGGAGCTGTCCCTGCCCAGATCCCTTCCAACCCAAGCCATTCTACGTTCATAAAATAGAATAGAATAAAATAGATAGAATAGCTAGGGTTGGAAGGGACCTCAAGGATTATCAAGTTCAAACTCCCTCACTGCAGGCAGGTTTGTCAGCTGCTAGATAAACTCTAGTAAAAGAGCATCTAGTGATTGTGTTGCCCAGGGCCCCATCTAACCTGGCCTTGAACACCTGCAGGATCGTATGAACATGAAAAAATAGCAATCTGATTATTCGCTCCTAATTTTACTATTTATTTCATGTCATCTGCCTCCTAACAGATCCACTGGCCCCTAAGCTGCAACTTGTCACAAGCAAGAGACAAACACTTGGAGAGCTTTTCCTGTTTGATCTTTACAGTCAACTTTACTTCCCCCAAAGACTTCCAATTATCTCATTAAACAAAGACTCAGAATGCTTATATTGATACAGGTGCCTTAATTGGTTAATTTATGCTATTGCCAGCCCAGATAAGAGTATATTTCCCTGAGACCTCCTTAAATAATCACAGCTCCTTCTAAACTATGGTGGTGATTCTTAGCAGGCTGATGCTTGAGCATAACATTTAGACCTGTTTGCTAGTATCTCTCATCATATTCTGATGCATGTTCAGCTACATGCACATGCTGCTCAGCATTTTTTTCTACATTTAAATTTCTAGCCTATTGGGTTTTAGTTATAACTCTGTGATTATACAAAACTGACCAAGTGCTTTTAAAGCCAATTTACAAGAAAAAAAAATCCTAATAATATTACTTTTTTTAGTAGCACTCTGAAGTAATTTAATACTTTATAGATGCAAACAAATTTAGCTGCGGTTTATCATGTACACATTCATTTGTGGATGCTGCCTTGTGTGTGACATTGTTTTCATTATTGACTTTTGTGGATGGAAATAATAGGTGGATTATTTACTGAATTGTCTTTAACTTTGTATCAACCAGAATAGCTTATTAAATATGTAATAACTTGTCACTGATGCAAGCTGGGATTTAAAACCAAGGTGAATGGAGGGACAAATGATGGCCTAAACTCAGTAATCCTTATTCTCAACGTAGCAAAAAAAATAGGATATCTAATCTTATAAATCATCAGAGAAATCAGAAGTAAAGGAAATTAACAACAACAACAACAATAATTTCCATGGAAGCTGGTTTTAAGGGTCATACAAATCCTTGAGTGAGCTGCCAGGCCTATGATTTTTCCAAACTTTCTTGATCGATGTAATGAGCCGGAATTTCTGCCTTAGCCCCTGGAAGGAAGTTTCCAAAGCACCTATAGAAGAGCCAAGGGTGCTGTTCAGGAACCATGACAGTTATCATGGTCTTGACTTCATCTTGGCTTCAAAGGTCATATCTTGCTTCATCTTTCTCCTTCCTTTCCCTTTGCTAACATGATATTGAGAAGTGCCTTCTCACCTCATTTTGCTGTATTTACTGAGCATTTTGCAGTCTGGATCTGCTGTAGAAGACAGTGTTATTTCTAGTTCATAGATGTAATATTCTACTTGCCAAAGGCTGCAGTTTGTAAACAGTAAGTGTCTTAACGTGTATCTTTTGAATTGCAGATTAGCACCCAATATGCGACAGTTCTGATTTTCTGTTCATTTGAATGCGTTTGCTTCTCTTTTCAGAAGAAAAAATCAGTTCATAAAAAGTAAGCCATTTCTGCCAGCCATTACGTACAATATCTATTTTGCCTTGTCTCACTGATATGGCTCAACTGTATGACCTGATGCCTCCCTGAAACATGCTAAAAGTTTAGCAGGCATATGCTTCTAAAGTGATAAAACAAAGGAATGTGATTTGACTGGAAAACCCCTATTCACTCGAAGAAGAGAGCGGTATCTTCAGGTGACACATTCCAGCAGAGTATCTTTTTATATACATGAACTGACAGAGAAAATTTGTATGTGGCTTAGTCACCCTTTAGCTGAATCACCGATCTCTTAGAAAAGTAGTGTGGTTGAGATGAGGGTGTTTATCTTCCCCTGTAAAAATCAGATTAAATGCAGTGTTACAGATACTCTGCAGAGGTAGTTTTCAGTATAGGCAAGAGCCTGTTTCTCCTTTTGGATAATGGTTAATATTTTATATCACTCAGGTAGCATCTCTGATAGACTGCGTGCCAATTGCTGCTGTGCAGTAGAAGGAAATAATGTCATTTCCAAATGTACCATCTTCAGGGACACTGTTTCTGAAATGATCACAGAATGGTGTATCTTTTCCTTGCAGGTGTGAATGAGCTACATAAAACTAGTTCCTCTTCACAAAAAGTGTTGTACCTGCAAGTAAATATCCGCATTTTGGACATGTGCATTGGTGGGAAAACCACCAAAGATGGTGGCTAAGGCCCCAGAAAGGCTGTCCTTCCCTCAAAGATAGCGGCTGGAGCATCCCAATTCTTGAGCACAAGGCAATTCATGGAGAACACATTTTGCAATTCTGATTCTCAAGAAATTCAGCTGGGGTCGATTCCCATTTTCCAAAAGGTCCACTGAGATGTGAATTCTATATTTCTGTGGATATGGTAGTACTGGAATTTTGATTCCTCACATACACTGTGCATCTTTTTGTCTTTCACAAAAAATGAGTCAAGAAAGAGGGTAGAAGAAAACAGATGAACCAGCCTGGCTTACTTTATGGCCTATCCAAGGCTTCATCTCATTGTCAAATTGCAGCAATTGCCAAAGTCTGAGTGAATTTCAGTGGGTTCAGCATAATCACCATGAATATCAGAACTGCTGGGTTCTTTTGTCTCCTCGTGGATTGCATTTGACAATGTAAAAAAAAGAAAAAAAAAAGTACAAACAAACAATAAATCAACAGATGTTTTTCTTGTCTCATACATTTTTTCTCCTATTTTTTACATATCTACAGATATGTGAACGCAGACTGAAGATTTACCCTCAGATGAGACACTTCTTGGATCTCTCTCTTTTGGTCACTGTTTTCATGACAAATGTTCTACTACTGCTCAACTCCAAGGCTATTTTTTCTCTTTACCATCTGCTTTTTCTACTATAGGAGTAGTCCTCAAGATGTCATGAACTTGCTTTGTGGTACCACACATTTGAATTGCTGACCTTGCAGTGACAGTACTTGTGAGATTTGCAGATCATTTTATGCAGTCATTAAATTGATTGCTGTGAAAGTTTCTGAACATCTGAGTCTTCACCAAAAGCAACCTCAAACCCATTACTCATTAACTGCATTTGCTTTATAGCACTTATAGCTTGGAAACAGCACTGAAGGTATACTAGGAATTTCAGTTCATTCCTCTTGCAAAAGACAGTGGAACAACTCTATCCTGCTACATAAGGTCTATCCCTTCATATACTCTATTGGAACTGAAATAAACCCAGAATGTGCCATGCACTTTCCACAGAAGAATGGAATGTCCTTTAGCATTAGAACAAGGATTCCAACTAGCCACAAAAGGTATTCTATATTTAGAAAAGACACTTCCATACCTGAGGCTATTTTGAAGAAGTCTGTCTTGGAAAATAGTGGAGAGTGTGCAGGAGATATGGGGAGCCCTTTTATTTATTTTTTTTTTTTTTTGGCTTGCTGTTAAGCTGGGTCTATCTTAAGGCACCCATTAGAAGTTGATAGGACAGATGAATGAGCATGCTGCTAAAACACCTGAATGGGGAATACTAGTGAGATAGCTCAGCAGGAGCATGGATGAGAAAGAGAGACCAGGTCATAGTGACAGGAGTGGTAATGCTATTGTGTTTTCTGAACAAAAAGTAAAGCTTATGTGTCAAGATCTGCATGGATTTAAACACTTCGTATGGAAGGCTTTTTTTTTTTTCAACTATGTTTTAATGGCTCTATTAGCACTTGCTAAATTTTGAATATTGTTCATTTATGATATTTGCAATCCACCCCCATGACTCTTCTATAGCTAGTCTAATACATGCTGTATGTGTATAATTGCCCATTATTCCACTGAAATTACAGGCAGTCACATCATGTGCATTATTTTAAATGTATTGTCATCGCATGTGTCATAAATTATCAGCTTTGGAGCTACTAGCTGCATGCTTCAGCAACAGCGGGATTACTGGATGAATTCGATGTGGAATACGACATAAATATTCATGCAGAGACTGTACTCATGTTCATGAAGTGTTTTCAGACTTGAGGACTCCATCAGTTGCCAACATTTCTCAAAGATGAGAACTACACAGATAACTCCCTGGACAATTAATTATTCATTCATTTTGCATAATCTTCAAGCTTAGTTTCATCCGTTGTTTAAAATGCATGCAGAGAAAGCCTTTTGTTCTGGAGGAAGTGAATAGCAGATGAGAAGCTTCCTGGAAGACTGCATCCTTTTTACCTACACTGAATTGTGTGGGTTAAAAAAGGTTTGTATCAGCAATGGGGTACATCCACCAGAATTGTCAGCTCTCTGCTCTTTGTGGTTGTTGTCCAAAGTTGGCTTTGGTAGAAATATGACAAATAAAATGAAAATAGATTTATGAAGTTTCAATAATCTGTCATTTACCTTCTTGTAATGTTAAGTTGGAATGGTACAACTGTCCCCAAGTCCACACATGAGGGAAGCTGCAAGGCTTGGCACACTGACTGACATGAAGCAAGAGTCTCTTCATGCAATCACTGATTGTAGAGAACCTTCCCTGTTATCAACTCAGGGTCAGCCCTATCTGAGTGTCTGACTGCCATGTATTTCAAGGGGAATTACACCTAATGCAGCACAGCAGTCATGAGATAATGTTACCTCTCTTTTGGCCCATAATAGCTAACAAAGATACAGTAGACCATGATCATGTACACGTCAATAAAGTACTTCAAATAACTAGTACTATGCTTAGATTGTCTATCTGAAGATGCTTCTGTTAGGAGAGTGTCCATGTTTTGAGACTGAAATGGCAATGCACTCTGGAGCAAAACTGTATGTAATTCATAGTCCTTTCTTTCCTGTGCAAAAAGTTATGAAAAGAAAAAAAGAAAAGTTTCTAGTAGGTATGATTTCCTTTTCAAATGGGGCTGTAGAAAGTACAAGAGGCAAAAATAAGGCTGTTCAAAATCTTCTAAATGGTTTTGTTCTTTCTAGTCTGCCTAAATGCCCGTGTGATAGATCATCTGCTTGTCACCTTGCTGACAGGAAGGTTTGATAGGAGGCTGGGATTTTGAAAGGTCTGCTAGGTACTATACACAGAAATAGGTCTAGATAACTTATATCTGCATTCTGTAAATCAGGGCTTAAGTATGTGTAAAGCAGAGCATCGTTCTAGAGGTCCCCAACTTTGGCATAATTTTAGTCAAGGGTGAGCTTGCAAGCAGAATTGGTCTGGCTGGTCAACTCAGGCGGCTATTAGGAATGAAAAACAGAATTTGGTAAATTGTGCAATATGGTTTCAAAAATGGGGATGTGCTGAGCTCACTTGCAATTTCTGCCTATGGTGAAGTGCACTGCGATTGCAGCTGGTCTACCTGCACATTCATTGGTACAGAAATCACTGCCCAGAGGTGGAAGATCTTTCCACAGTGCTGCTACAGGCAAGATCCAGAAGCGAGAAATGCTCTCTGTCTTCTCAAGAAGAGACTGTTTCTATCTGTCCCTTGAAGGTGATCAGCATTTTCAGCTGGTTCAATAACCCATTTGTGCCAGAGCAGTGCAACAGGAACAAAGCATGACTGAGAGCTACATGCTATAGTGCTGTTTAGAGCTTACTTTTTGATCTTCCTTGACAACTATTTTCAAAGGCACAAAAAATGGACATTGCTATTTTACCTGTCAGTTCAACCTTGTTTACACAATCAAGGAAACATTTAAATGTGCTGAGACTGTGGATTGCAGCTTTCTTTACAGTTCCTTTTTTTTTTTTAACTCTGCTAAAATTGTTCCAGTAACTAATTGATTTTCATAGAATGTGGCATTTTCTTTCATCCACACAAGAAAGTGGGTTTCTGAGATAGAGCAGATTTCCTGATTTGCTTTTTCTGTGCAGTGGGCAGAAAATGGTAATGAGGAGAACACGATTTCAAGCCAAATCTCAGCAGAGAACAGTTCTTGGTTGTAGTGGCATCTATGTTAGCATGAGTAGCATGAGTCCACACCATGAATTTATCTCATTCTTATAGAGGTGACCAGGAGTTTACCACTTTCAGCAAGCCTTAGTGACTGCTGGACTAACTTCTGTGGAAGCTGAATGTTGTTCCCACCCAACACACATGGATGATGCCATATTCACACCTTGTCTTGAGCTGAAGCAGTATGTCTGCATGAAGCTTTCCTTTACCTAATAGTGAAAATCATAAATACTATTGTTTACTTTATGAAAATCCTGTGAATGCTCTACAGACCACAGCACTGATGAACCTCACTACAGGTGGGATACTGGATGAATGGTCTTATCCAGTACTGCAGTGGCCAATATTCCCAGCATCAAAGGAGAAATCAGATTGCTATTAACTTTTCTAGTACTTCTAGTAGTATCAGGAGTCTCCAGGGACAGGGCATCAACCACATCTCTTGGCAGCCAGTTCCAGTGTCTCACCACCCTCACTGTAAAAGGCTTTCTCCTTGTATCCAACCTAAATCTCCTCTCTTTTAGTTGGAAACCATTTCCTCTTGTCCTATTACCACAGACCCTGATAAAGAGTCTGTCCCCTTCTTTCTTATAGCCCCCCTATAAGAGGCTGCTATCAGGTCTCCTCTGAGTCCTCTCATCTCCGGGCTGAACAGCCCCAGATCTCTCAGCCTGTCCTCATAGCAGAGGTGTTCTATCCCATAGAAAATTTTTGTGGCCCTTCAAAATCCTCTTGTGGATATGTTGTGGCAGAGAATAACGTGCCACTGATTTTCTGAACTTGCAGTGGTTACTGGTAAATCCATTGTCAGCTTCCTCCTGGCTGAGAATGGTGGTTTTCATGATTTCATTACTGAGCTGATTTATCTTTGCGTGTTTTTCTTCAGTGTTCTGGGAGCAGATCCAAATCCACACATTCTTATATAGCAAAGCCAGACATTTCACAGCACTTACAACAAGAGAGCAAGGGAGCACATGCTCCAAAATATGGACTACTTGTTTCTTCTAGTTGTCATTTACAGACCACTTTTGGTTAAGGTGAGTGATCCATAGATCTATCTGTTGCAACAACCCTAAAATGCCCAAGGCATCAGGTGCTGCACCTGCCTCCCTGATCCTAGCTTATCTCCTTGTCTGCACTTTGTGAGGATGCCTTCATCCAGGAAGGATACCTTTAAGTGAGATGTATTTTCAGACTCGAGTGTTCCTGTTTTGTTGACCAGGTCAGATTGGCTGGAAAAGGCCCTGGCTTGAATGTGCAGTGGTAGCAAAGCAGGTAATCAAAGACAGGGAGACTCCTTGGAGAACCAGGGCTGGCAAGTAAAGGGGTTGTAACCCCTTGTTAATGAGGCTACCAATGCTGTAAAAAAACAAGGGGAAAAAGAGACTCAGAGCAGCAGGAAACCAGATGACAAACATTTTAAACCTTTCCTGTTATCTTGGTATATAGTTTAGATCCTCATACAGAAACCAGTGGGGGAAAGAAATGGCACCAGAGTAGCAGAAAATCTATTTCACCCTCTCTTTTCCTCTTTTCTAATGTGCTCTCCAATACAGATATGGCAAAGGTACGGAACAGCAGCAGGAAAGAATACAGATGATGATTGAAAGAAAAAGGGACTGCACTAAATGCTGCCCCACTCAGTGCCTCCCTACTATGAGAAGTAATGTGACTCAATGTGCATGATGATGTGCATCTCACCTATTTTAATCTCAGGATTTCAAGATTTAGGTTGAACTCTTTGATTTCATGGAAATCTTGGGGTAAATTGAAGGCACGGCCAATATAGAAGGAAAAGAAACAGGAAGGGACTTATCAGAGATGAATTTCTTTCAAAGACTGTTCTACCCAAATATCACAGAGAAATGCCTTAACAAAGGAGATCTTCTATCAAAAGAAAGCCAAAGTGAGATCATAAAAAAAATGTCTTAATATAAGATCAGTAGAAACATAATTATTCCCAAATTTGCTATAGAAAATCAGATGAGGCACAGGAAAAAAAATGTGCCTAGTTATCCCTGAGAGAATGGTAACTGCAGTTAAGTCAGTGCAAGAGTTTGCCTCCAGCTCAAATCTTTTCTAACCTCTCTTTTCCCCCAAGCTGTCTCAGGGTTGTCAGCACATGCTGCCTATCTGTCACTGATTCAAGAGCTGGTCAGAGACTTTGGCAGTGCTGATGATATATGGAAAGTTCAATTTGTAAAAGGTGAGGCCCACGCCATGAAAATAACATTCCTTCAACTCTGAGTTTAGTCAACCCTTATAGCTCTTGGGAATCAGAATAAGCAGCACATCATTTTTTGGAGGCAACCACATGAGTCATGTGGCTTATGATGGCTAGACAACAATTATTTTTACACTGAAACTCACTGATCTGAGACAGTGGATTTTAATGTTATAGGGCTTTGCTGTGCTCAGCTGAAGCCCCAGTTCCTTAGAGTTATGACTAGAACCACTTGGTGATTTTCTATCAAATCATATTAAATGGACAATTCTAACTACAGCAAAGAGTTTAGATGCCTCTGAAAAGTGAAATAGTTCTTCTAATCTTTGATGTCAGTATAATTTCTAGCTCCTGAAATGAGTGACTTTGCCACAAGATTTGACTTTTCTTATGTATTGTTTACAGATTCATTAAGTACTGTATGTACATCTGTGCATTAATGAATCTGTAAACAATGTTATCTACATATCAGTTATGCAGAGGAATCCTATTTTAAACTGCATCGAAGAAAAATTACATTTATATACGAATGGCACTGCAAAATATCTTGGCTCATAATTTTTATACAGTTTGGTTCCAATTTCATGAAGCTGTTCTGCTCAGTTAAAAAGCACTAGTACTAATTCCTAATTCAAAGTCCACTTGAGGCCATGAGCAAGATAGATTTGGGTGAGTGTTTTTGCTGGACTAGAGTTCACCAACACCCAGTGTTACAAGTGTATGACAAATATGAGGCAGAGCTGGAGCAGTATTTGCATACAAAAATGTTTTCAAGTTAGTAGGTTATACTCGCTGTTTCCAATGCCCTGTGTCATCTGGATAAAACTACTGATTATAATGAGCCTGCAAAGCCTTCTTGAATATAGGACCTCAAAACAGCACGGTTATTCTATACATTAAGTGCCTACTGGAGCCATCTGTGAAAATCACAGCCACTTTTGTGCTGTCAAGTGATAAAATTTACAGCAGCTCTTTTCTTAGGCCTCAAGGTAGGGTAACTTTATTATCAAGGAGCCAGAACCAGACTCACAACTAATGTCTTGCACTTCCCACAGTAGTATTCCATGGCTTGAGGGGGAATCTGAGCTGTGAATAAGAAGCTATTGGAACAATCGTTTACTGAATCTGTGGTCCAAAATATTGATTATCCTCCAAACATTATCATAGTTGTCACTGTGGGGCAAGATAAGGGGAAATCCA